TATGTTGAACTTCAAATATTTTTGCTATAATACGTAAGTATACTGTATTTGTGGTTCGTTTTATGAATAATGTGCACTATATATTTTATGTAAAGAGATTTGTTACATTGAACAGTCTTTATTCTGCATTTTGAAAATAACATGGGATTCAGAAAGTTGTCTTTGGGCGTAGCGATTGTAGGTAGATACAGTGCTTTTAACAGTATCGGCCCTTCAGCCAGCAGTATCATGGATGCTGTGTGAACCAAAAGAGACTTACTTAATACTTAAAGAGCTATGATGTATTTCAGAATATGTAGGGTTTACGTGTTCACAACTAACATAATATTGTGTCTAAGAAAGTATGAACCACTGATGTCAAGTTTTCTTAAAGTCAGTGTAGATGGCAAATGGAAAATTTTCCGACATGATGGGAAACAATGTAAACTGAAATATTTTTCTTGGGATAATCCATGAAAACTAATCTTTTGAAGGTTAGTACAACCCATAAATCTGAACCAATAGGATTACAAGCCCCTCAAAGCTTTTCTCCAAGAGTAAGAATATCTGTGTAGAATTTAAAGGAGCCCTGGTGGCACAGTGGTTGAGCGCTCGGCTGCTAACCAAAAGGTTGGTGGTTTGAACCCACCAGCTGCTCCGGGGGAGAAAGATGTGGCAGTCTGCTTCCATAAACATTACAGCCTTGAAACCCTCTATGGGGCAGTTCTGCTCTGTCCTGTAGGGTTGCTGTGAGTTGGAATCGACTTGACAAGTACAGGTATGCGGAATTTATATCTTATGATATCACTTTTCAGCTTTTAAATTCCCTATGCACAGGCACGTCGTATTTATTTCTCATTCTGTCATTTTGTGTGTGTGTGCAGAGGGATGTACAGTGGGTCAGGGAGAGACAGGAATGATAACGGTAGAACCCATCTGTTACTTTGTGTGCAGAGGGATGTACGTCGGGTCAGGGAGAGAGGAATGATAACGGTAGAACCATCTGTTACTTTGTGTGTGTGTGCAGAGGGATGTACGTCGGGTCAGGGAGAGACAGGAATGATAATGGTAGAACCCATCTCTTACTTTGTGTGTATGTGCAGAGGGATGTACGGCAGGTCAGGGAGGGACAGGAGTGATAACGGTAGAACCTGTCTGTTACTTTGTGCGTGTGCGCAGAGGGATGTACGGCAGGTCAGGGAGAGAGAGGAATGATAA